CTAATAAAAACTAAAATGACAGCTTCACACAAAGACTAGACTAAAACTAAAATTAAAACAGGCTGCCAAAAACAACACTACTCTGAATCTCAGGTGAAAATTGCCATTTTGACCCCCTTTTACAAACTAGTGCATTACACAGTCAATATTGATCCATGAGATTTAATATTTTGGCTTTCATGACTATACACGTCTGTCTGTCTTTGTTTGATTTGACACAGAATGACCTTATAATCAATATGCTATCTGGTTCAAAATGTATCTGAAAAAAATTTTTTGGTTACACTTTAAGCATTATGTATAATGCATTATAAAGGTATTCATAATATTAGTTGTAATGCATTATACTTTAATATAAATAATTGTAACCAAAGTTAAAATGCATTATGATATTTGAAGGTTTGTCTGTTATGTGTTTTAATGCATTATACTCTCTAAAGGTGTAACAATGAGTTATATTCTATGTGGTTACAATCATAAGGCGCATTGCATGGCATAATTAATGCATTACTACTACTTTTATAATGCATTACATAATCCTAACAAACCATACATCAATGGAAAGCTATTTATTCAGATATCATCTCAATTTCGAGAAATATATATATCACATATAAAGTCTTACCAAATTTTATTCCAGAAATGTAGTAATTTTGGATGCATAACATAGCAATGCAACAGTTTGTAATCGAATAATTGACATGTCACGTAATAGTGACGCTTTTGGACCTATTTTGTTCAGTTTGCACTTGGAATGATGAAGCCTGTAAAGCACTTTAAACTGAATAAGACAGCCTTATGTGTAGCATTAAAAGTCTAGATGTTTTTGTGATCATTTTGTGTGTGTCTCAGGGGTTTGTGGGGATGTCCGGCGTGAGATGAGCTCCTCTGATCCGCTGCTGGAGGAGCTGGAGGCGTTCGGACCCGTGCAGATCGTCATCTCAGACGAGGAGCATCACCAGTTCTCTCTGGACGAGGAGGCGCTGGAGCAGATCCTGCTGCAGGAGCGCGTGAGGGATCTCCGTGTGGTGGTGGTGTCTGTAGCTGGAGCCTTCCGCAAGGGCAAGTCCTTCCTGCTGGACTTCATGCTCAGATACATGTACAGCCAGGTCAGGATCACCGCTCAGACAAACACCACACGGCTGCGTTTAATTCATCAAAAATACTGTAAAAATGTGAAATATTATTATAATTTAAAACAGCTGTTTTCTATGTGAATATCTGTTAAACTGTAATGTATTTCTGTGATGCGCAGCTGTATTTTCAGCATCATTACTGCAGTCTTCAGTGTCACATGATCTTCAGAAATCAGTATAATATGCTGATTTGCTGCTCAAGAAACATTTCTGATTATTATCAATGTTGAATACAGTTGTGCTGCACAGTATTTTTGTGGAAACCGTGATGCATTTTATTTTTCAGGATTCACAGATGAATAGAGAATTTCAGAAGAACAGCATTTATTTGACATAGAAATCTTGTGTGAAATTATAAATGTCTTTACTGTAGGGCTGCTCGATTATGACAAAATTCAGAATCACGATTATTTTGGTCAATATTGTAACCATGATTATTTAATACGATTATATGACCAAATCTTTAAATTAATGATATATGAATAATCTAAAACAGCATAATCTTCACTGTAAGAATTAATCTTCATTTGTTACTTATTAAAGCTACAAAAGTCGTTCAGTGAAGAGCAGTGAGTGATTTTGTCTTTGTCTTTGTCGTTTGATTAATATTAAGCACACAGTCGCAGCAGAATATTAGGCTGCTGTCACTTTAAGAGCTGCACGTATTCAATTTACTGTTATGCACGTATTTTCATTCTCAACTGTTTACGTTCATTTATTACATAACTGACAAGGGATTACGTGAATAATCACTAAGCGCTGCATTTTGACACGTTTGCATGTATTTGACCGTTTAGGTGCGCACCTTGAGCTAAAAGATGACTTTATATATCCGTGTTCTGCTCCGTCTCTGAGCGCATTTACAGTAATCCTCTCGAGGAACAGCTCAAGTTCTGTTTCGCACTTTTAAAAACATGAATACATTTAATAAACTTTAATAAATCAAGCACATCCCATTTAGCAAAAGTCACGTTACATGATTTGCACGTGAAATTGGGCTTTTATTGAGGAGCGAAAGCGCACTGATAGAAAGGGGGCGGAATAATCGTTTTATCTCGATTACTGTATTTTCATAATCGTTGGAGGCCAAAATTGAAACCGAAACCGTATTTCGATTAATTGCACAGCCGTACTTTACTGACACTTTTAAACAATTTAATGCATCCTTGAAAAAATTCATAATTATTATTATTTTAAATCATACTTAATCTAAACTTTTGAATGGTAGTGTATCGTGTTTTTTTTATTTTTTTTTAATAAATTTCACAATTTTACTGTAGTTTTAATCAAATAAATGTAGCCTTGGTGAGCAGAAGAGACTTTATTAAAAACATTTAAAAATCTGAATTATTATAAAATTTTGACCACTAGTGTGGTTGATAGAACTTTTGTAGACACAAAATATTTTCTTAAACGGAATTTAAAACACAACCATTTCTGAAGAATTTAGATTTTATAAGTAATTTTAACACCGATAATGTGGATTTTATTATTAATGTTGACTTTTTTTTTTTTTTTTTTTAATGGTGCACAAAATGTTTGTGAGATTACAATATGCTTGCCATGAATGCATTATAATTTTGACCATGGATGCACGTGAAATGTACCCTAAAGTACGACTCAGTGTAGTTTAGTGCAGTTTAGTGTAGTTTAGTGTTTAGTGTTCTGGTCCAGATTCCTGAGTGCAGGACTGTCACACACCGAGTGTTCATCGAGCAGCTTTAATCCATCACAGCGCTTTACTGTGAAACACTGGTGTTTTGTGTTGATCTGAAAGACTCTTTTGTAGTTCTGTGGAGTAGGGCTGGGTATCGAGTTCGATACTTTAAAGTATCGTTCAGGAACCGGTATCGAAGTCAAGGTATCGGTATCGGTATCGAAACATTTTGAACGATACCCAGCCCTACTGTTGAGAGTGTTATTGAGTTCAGACTGACCGTCACACAGAAGTTCAGAGACCGAGCTCGTGTTCTGTGTGTCTCAGGGCTCAGACGCGTGGCTGGGTGGGACGGACGAGCCGCTGACGGGCTTCACCTGGAGGGGCGGCTGTGAGCGCCAGACCACCGGCATTCAGGCCTGGAGCCACGTGTTTGTGGTGGAGAAACCCGACGGAAGCAGGGTAAAGCTCACAGCGTCTGAAACACACCACCAACACATGGTCACGTGACATGCAGCTACACACATACAATACTTCATCTTTTTGTGTGTTTTATTTTGATATTTATGTTCATTCAACACATTTATGATACACAGCGGTGTGTATTTGTTTTCAGTGATTCTCGAGTGAAAGTGAAGTAATCCAGTCAAATGGAAATATTGTTTATTTTTATATATATTTTTTATTTTATTATTTATTGCTTGAATATTTTTTAATTTTTATAATTTTTTGTTTATAATTTTTACTCATTTGTAGATTTATTTACATTTGTTTATTTTTATATTTTATTTTGTTAATTTGTATTATTTTTTATTCTTATTTTTTTATATTTTTATTATTATATTTATTGTTATGTACTTTTTAATTAATTAATTAATTTGATTATTATTATTTTACTTTTTAAAAATAAAAATATATTTTTTTTGTAATTTTTTTTTCTCTCTCTACTTATTTTAATTACTTATTTTTTTTAAATTTATTCTTGTATATTTTTATATTTTTATTTAGAATTTTTTTTTATACATGTTTTTTAATTGATATTTTTCCTCATTCATATATATATATATTTTTTTAATCTGCAACCACTGGCGGCTGGTGCTAAAAAAACTGTTTTTTAAACAAACGGCAGCAGGACTCAATGCAATTGTTAAATAACCATTTCACAAGTGACATAATAATGAATCATTAATGCTTTAAAAAGTTGAAAATTCAACTGTTAAAGCATGAAATAAGATACTGAATCAGTGAATTTGAGTTTAATGTGGGTGTATTATTAGTGAAGTGATCATTAAACATTTGTAATCATTCAAAAAAATATTAACCATTTATATTATTTCAGATATTTAACTTATTTTAACATGTTGAAGTAGGCTTCTTCCCTGGCCACTGCCTGCAGCAGTACACTGTGATCTTTTTCTGTTTTTCCTCATTATCTAGTGCTGTTTTCCTGTGTCAGGCGGTCCTGTGATTTTCACTCATTCTGTGGCTCGAGCTGCTCCGTGTGTGTGTGTTTGTGTGTGTGTGCGGTCAGGCGTGTTCTGGCTCAGTTACCCGTGACCGTGTGTGTGTCCGCAGGTGGCTGTGCTGCTTCTGGACACGCAGGGAGCGTTTGACAGTCAGTCCACCATCAAAGACTGCGCCACACTGTTCGCCCTCAGCACCATGACCAGCTCCGTACAGGTACGACACGCGTCACGTGTGCGTCGCTGAGAGAGCATGCAGTGTCCTGATGCTCCTGTTTTTATGCGCAGGTCTATAACTTGTCCCAAAACGTTCAAGAAGACGATCTGCAGCATCTTCAGGTGAGATGCGCTGCTCAATGAAAAAACTCTAAACACAGTTCTCTACATTACACACATCATTTGAAACTAACAGCTCTTTTGTTTAATTTGGGAAACACTGCCATTTTAATGCCACACTCATTTACTGATGACCTACACA